TGGAGAAAAGAAGGCTGCGGGGTGACCTCATTGCAGCCTTTCAATACCTAAAGGGAGCCTACAGAGGAGAGGGGAATCAACTCTTTGAAAGGGTTGATATGTGTAGGACGAGGGGAAATGGTTTGAAGTTGAGGGAGGGGAGATTTAGGTCGGACATCAGGGGGAAATTCTTTACCCAGAGAGTGGTGAGGTACTGGAACAGGCTGCCCAGAGAGGTTGTGGATGCCCCGTCCTTGGAGGTGCTCAAGGCCAGGTTGGATGGGGCCCCCCAGGGCCTGGTTTAGCATTAAACATGGAGGTTGGTGGCCCTGCATGTGGCAGGGTGGTTGGAGATTCATGATCCTTGAGATCCCTTCCAACCCTGGCCATTCTGTGATTCTGTGAACACTGTCTTTGCTGTCAAAACAAAAAATCCTTTGTCACCATGGCTGCAGCCCCACTGTTTCTTCCTCCCGCATGGGTTACTTGGGGGAAGGATCTCCACACACTGACCCACCTTGCCTCTCCAGATGGCAGATCTTGTGGTAGAGACGAGTCCTCTGCAAATGGAACCCTTTCCTGGTCCTGAAGTAGTACAGGTAGTACACTGCCAGCATTTAACAGTGAGCACAGAAAACCTTGGACCACTTGAGTATTTTTGCTGAATTCAGAAAAAAAAACACCTATTCTAAAGAAGTTTTTAGGATGGTCTGAAAGATAAATAATCACCCCTGACAGATCGCATCTTCAGGAAGGTCGGTGAAATAATATGACAAGAGTGGTGATTAACTCTCGCCACAAAGGGAAATGTTGAGCTGATGTAGGTGGCACACAAAATCCCCCACTCCCTTTATGAGTCAGGTAAGCTGCCAGGAGGCGAAGGTGGGATCCGTGGGATGGAGCTCTGTTTGCCCCAGCCACTCAGCAGTATTCTTTTTGAAAGGCAAAAAAATAAATAGTTTAATTATTAAATCAGATTTTTCAAAATTAAGTCTGATTTAAATAGCAAAATCTAACACTTGCCCTCAATCTCCAACGATGCTGTCTGCAGTGATAGGCAAGGAGAAATATTACTAAACAACTCCACCCCCTGAGGTTAAAATAGCATTTCTGGGTAATGCATCTATTCTTCTGCCTCCCACCCACACCTGTGATCCTGCAGTCACATTGCTTCTCTCTCTCTGGCTTCAGAAAAAGAAGCAGGCAAGCCAGGATCCCAGCCCCACACAGAACTTGGCCCTAAAGAAGAAAAAACATTTCTCTCACAATGGCTGCAGAGCGGTTTAACAAATGCATAAAGCAAGGCAACTGGGGGAGGGAAAGGAAAAGCATTTTTTGGTCCTATTTTGGATCAGACCACGATTCAAAAGATAATTTAAATCATCAAACATCCCGAGTTGGAAGGGACCCATGAGTATAACTGAATCCAACCCTTGGCTCCACAAAGGACCACCCCCAAAATCAGATCGTACGTCTGAGAATGTTATCCAAACGCACCTTGAACTCCAGCAGCTCGGAGCCGCGCCCACCGCCCCGTTAGTCAGCAACCCTTCCCGAGCCCCTTTTCCCGCCCCTCCCCTGACGCAGCTCCATGCCGTTCCCTCGGGCCCTGCCGCTGTCACACAGAGCAGAGCTCAGCGCTGCCCCTCCGCTCCCTGTGAGGAGCTGCAGCCATCAGGCCTGCCCTCGGCTCCTCTGCTCTGTGCTGAGCAATAGATAGCTGTGTCCCTTATTTAAAATTATAAACTTTTCATTACCAAAATGAAACTCAGAAATGTGAAGTAAATACCATCAGTTACTTAGGCTCCAGTGCAGGCTGAACAAGCTACTTTCCCAGTTTCCCTCCTGAATTTAGGAACGTTTCCCACACACTTAATTCTTCAGTCTACCTGACAGTGTGTCTCTGAGGAAGGGCACAGAGCAGTACCTGCGGGTGCTGGGAAAGAGAGGTGACAGGATCAGACCTTCAGCATGAGTTAGTTCTTTGTTTCAGCTGGAGAATGGAAGATCTGGAGTGGAGTCCTCATAAAAATATGGATGGATGCGTCTATACACACGGAAATGTCAGCTGGGAGAAAGGACACAGTGGGACAATGAGCAGTGTGGGAAAAAAGTGCTAAGGGGAAGGTTGAGTACAGCCCCTGCAACATCTTTCTTCCTAAACGGGAAAGATACGGATTTGATGATTGGACTACTCTTCAGTACTCTTCAGGTTGTGAGATTGTACCCAGAGATGGTGGTCAGTGGCTCAGTGTCCACACAGAGATCACTGATGAGTGGTGCACCCCAGGGGTCAGCACTGGGACTGGTGCTCTGTAACATCTTCATCAACGTCACTGAGTTGAGTAACCCTCAGCACGTTTGCTGGCGACACCAAGCTGTGGGGTGTGGTCAACGTCATCCAGAGACACCCAGACAGGCTCAAGCATCGGGCCCAAGTGAACCTCATGAGGTTCAACAAAGCCAAGTGTGAGGTTCATGGCAACCCCTGCTATCAGCACAAGCCGAGTGATGTAAGGATAGAGCACAGCTCGCCATGAGCCAGCAATGTGCCCTCACAGCCCAGAAAGCCAACCATATCCTGAGCTGCATCAAAAGCAGCACAGCCAGCAGGGCAAGGGAGGTGATCCTGCCCCTCTCTCTCTCTGCTCTGTGAGACCTCACCTGGAGTACCGTGTCCAGATGTGGAGTCCTCAGTGCAGGAGAGTCATGGACCTGCTGGAGTGCGTCCAGAGGAGGGCCACAAAAATGATCCAAGGGATGGAACACCTCTCCTATGAGGACAGGCTGAGAGCTGGGGCTGTTCAGCCTGGAGAAGAGAAGGCTCCAGGGAGATCTGAGAGTGGCCTTTCAGTATCTTAAGAACAGCTAAATGAAAGAAGGGGACACACTCTTAGGACAAGGGGAAATTGTTTCAAACTAAAAGAGTGAAGGTTTATACTGGATAAGAGGAAAAAGTTTTTACAATAAAGGTAGTGACGCACTGGAACAGGTTACCCAGAGATGTGGTGAAAGCCCAGTCCCTGGAGACACTCAAGGTCAGGCTGGATGGGACTCTGAGCACCTGACCGAGCTGTAGGTGTCCCTGTGCACTGCAGGGGATTGGACCAGATGACCTGTAAGGGTTCCTTCCAATTCAAATGATTCAATGATTCAATAGAGATTTCAGAAAGGAGAGAGCAAGACAGATTATAAAAATCAAGCCAGGAGAAGAAGTAAAAAAGATGGGAGAAAGAGAGAACATATGAAATGGCACAAAACTGCTTTTCTCAAGCCTTTTCTCTCAGAGAGAAGGGGGCAGGCAGGTAAAGTAACCAGCATAATGTCAGGTAAGAGGGACACAGAGGGCTGCAAGAAGAAAGAAAGACCTGGCACAGCAGAGAGGGAAAATAAGAAACTGTGAGGAGCACAGCCCTGGAAGTGAAGGAATAAAACCAAGCAGAATAATAGGGAAGGCCCTGGAGATGAAAAGTGACACGGTCCTGCAAGGCTGCTGCTTTCATCTGAGACAGAAATCCAGGAGGTCACCGAAACTGCTGCTTGGATCTCACATTTGAAACTTTAAGATAGGTGTTTTTTTCACCACAACTTATCCTCCTTTCCAGTGCTGATGACATTGATTACCACGCCCCCCCACTTAACACCTCCATGCCAAGAAACAAAGCTCTGAGACTATCATGCCTGCAGCAGACTGCTTCCTTTGCATCTGGAGGCTTCTGCAGAAATACCTCCGTAGACAAATCCAAATTGCTGCAGCTCCCAAATTACCATGAAAGAGTTGAGTATCGTTAGCGGGATGAGGAAGGAAATAGGAAGGAAAGAGAGGCACACGCTCAGGGGAAGGCTCGTTTTGTTTTCATAATTAGCAAATCATACAGTACGGAGGGAAAAATTGCTGCTGGGACCTGAGCTGTCAGTCCTTCACACATCAAATAATAGGAACCAAGAGGAGGGTGTGGGAATTGCATTCAGATGATCAAATTCCTCCTGTTATTAGTGTGCGTTCAGTGTAATAAAACCTCATCAGGGAAAGTACACACTGTAACAGAAATCCTATGGAGGTTATAGAGCAAAACCCCAGGAAGACCAAACAGTGTTCCCAGGCAGCCTGAGATCCAGTGCAGTGCTGGCGGCACCAGGAGCAGCACATGGAGATGAATGAAGCCCTGTTTGTAAATGTGCCATGCAACTGCATGCTCCTGGCTCTCATTTTCTGTGATCTGACTCAGCCTCCGCACAGATCCACTCCCCCAGGTTTTGATTCATAAATCCTTCATCTCAGGGAAAGTTACAAAGACATGACACAAGCAAAGGGCACGCGATGACGTGAAATGGGAGAACGGCAGCGTGGAATGCGCTCCGCTGCAGCCCCGTGCACTGACCTGCTGCCATAAAGACAGCCCCGGGCCGTGCCCAGGGCAGGGACCTCGCCGGGTACACCGCCAGGCCGCACACGGGGCTGCTCCGGAGCTGCATGGTGACCACTGGGCTATGCGCTCTGCGCCCCCCGGGCCAGCCGATGGGACACGTGCGGGACGGAAAGTAAGAGGCTTTCTCCCTTTAAGCAACGAAAGAGATCGGCGTTAACAGCAGCAGTGCAGATACAACAGATGATGCATGAGCAATGGTGTATGGCGCTCTATGCTTACTAAACAATTAACGAGCACCCACAGCGTCGGTACAGCGATGCACCCACGCAGGACTGACCCTTCCCCGCAGCCTGCTCTGCTGGGTACGAGCTCAAGACAGCGGGCCCAGCCGCGGGTACCGCGGGGCCACTGCAGCGGGACAGGGCTGAGGGCTGAGGGCTAAGTCCTGCGCCCGGCGTGGGCGCGGCTCCAGCCCCGCGAGCGGCTCCGGGACAGGGCTGGCAGCGGCGCGGCCCCAGGTGCCGCAGGGCTCCGGGTGCGGCACGGCGCATCTCCGCCAGCGGCCGCCGCTATCACACGCGTCCCGGCACAGGCTGCATAACAAAGAGCATTCTCAGCCCCGTCCCCGCGGCCGGGCACGGAGGTCCTTGCCTGCTAGGCGTCCGGGCTCCTCCGCGGGCGGGCTCCGGGCGCGCTGCAGCTCGCCGGGGCCGGGTAAGGCCGCCGAGCTCTGCGGGGCTCCGGCTCTGCAGCGCCGCACCGCTGCGGGCCGCCCATAGGCCGGGCTGCTCCCCAACCGCCCCCGCCTCT